AACTAGCCTGAACTACTTCAATTGAGTCTTTGATGGCTAAATTCCAAAACAATTTCTTATAAATGGCATCAAATTCTTGTGTCGCTCTACACACACACACATACACAAACAAACAAACACACACACACACACACACATGTATATATATATATATATATATATATATATATATATATATATATATATATATATATATATATATACATATATATATATACATATATATATATATATATATATATATATATATATATATATATATATATATATATATATATATATATATATATATATATATATATATGTATGTATATATAACTTGGCTCGCGCTGAATCACATTGGTGCCAGACTGTGACGGACTTTGAATGTCTTGAAACACTCCAGTGTGTGTGGGGGGGGGGGGGGATCAGGGTGTGGGGGATCAATATTACTTAATTAAAGCAAGCTCCAGGGCATTGACCCCGACTCAGAATTGGTCGAGTACATCATGTCAATTTGTCGGGTGCTGTTTGTGTGCTGTCGTGTGCTGTTTATGTGCTGTCTGGTGCTGTTTGTGTGATGTCGGGTGCTGTTTATGTGCTGTTTGTGTGATGTCGGGTGCTGTTTGTGTGATGTCGGGTGCTGTTTGTGTGATGTCGGGTGCTGTTTATGTGCTGTTTGTGTGATGTCGGGTGCTGTTTGTGTGATGTCGGGTGCTGTTTGTGTGATGTCGGGTGCTGTTTGTGTGATGTCGGGTGCTGTTTGTGTGATGTCGGGTGCTGTTTGTGTGATGTCGGGTGCTGTTTATGTGCTGTTTGTGTGATGTCGGGTGCTGTTTATGTGATGTCGGGTGCTGTTTGTGTGATGTCGGGTGCTGTTTATGTGCTGTTTGTGTGATGTCGGGTGCTGTTTATGTGCTGTTTGTGTGATGTCGGGTGCTGTTTATGTGCTGTTTGTGTGATGTCGGGTGCTGTTTATGTGCTGTTTGTGTGATGTCGGGTGCTGTTTATGTGCTGTTTGTGTGATGTCGGGTGCTGTTTATGTGCTGTTTGTGTGATGTCGGGTGCTGTTTATGTGCTGTTTGTGTGATGTCGGGTGCTGTTTATGTGCTGTTTGTGTGATGTCGGGTGCTGTTTGTGTTCAAAAGCAACATGATAGTAGAGAAAGACAGAGAGTTTGTTATCGATATCAGTAGACCTACGACTACTGAGTGTAGTATCGATATCAATAGACCTACGACTACTGAGTCTAGTATCGATATCAATAGACCTACGACTACTGAGTCTAGAATCGATATCAATAGACCTACGACTACTGAGTCTAGTATCGATATCAATAGACCTACGACTACTGAGTCTAGTATCGATATCAATAGACCTACGACTACTGAGTCTAGTATCGATATCAATAGACCTACGACTACTGAGAGTCTAGTATCCATATCAATAGACCAACGACTACTGAGAGTCTAGTATCGATATCCATAGACCTACGACTACTGAGTCTAGTATCGATATCAATAGACCTACGACTACTGAGTCTAGTATCGATATCAATAGACCTACGACTACTGAGTCTAGTATCGATATCAATAGACCAACGACTACTGAGAGTCTAGTATCCATATCAATAGACCAACGACTACTGAGTCTAGTATCGATATCAATAGACCGACTACTGAGAGTCTAGTATCGATATCAACAGACCTGAGACTACTTACAGCCTGATATCGATTCCTAGGGGAGGGGTGTGATGGAGGAGTTCTGATGTAACTTTCTCCCTCCAGCCATTTACTTTGGTCCCGCCCCACCCCCCCCTCCCCACTGCTCACTTGCCCTCAGACTACCCAACCCTACTCTCCCCTACCCCACCTTACCCTACCCTCCCCGTCCTACTTGACAAGGTCTACCGTGCCTGTGCTAATCATATTTTCTTCTCAACATTTCTCACAGAACCGCTTAAAGCCTCAAGTCTTCTGTTACACGTTCTCTAATGTCCTGCTACGTCATGCCCCTCTACCCCCTCCTTCCCTCCGTCCCTGTGTACTCCCTCCTTCCCTCCCTCCCTGTGTACTTCCTCCTTTCCTCCCTCCCTGTGTACTCCCTCCTTCCCTCCCTCCCTCCCCCCTGTGTACTCCCTCCCTCCCTCCCTGTGTACCCCCTCCTTCCCTCCTTCCCTCCCTCCCTGTGTACACCCTCCTTCCCTCCTTCCCTCCCTCCCTGTGTACTCCCTCCTTCCCTCCCTCCCTGTGTACTCCCTCCCCTCCTCCCTCCCTGTGTACCCCCTCCTTCCCTCCCTCCCTGTGTACTGCCTCCTTCCCTCCTTCCCTCCCTCCCTCCCTCCCTGTGTATCCCCTCCTTCCCTCCTTCCCTCCCTGTGTACTCCCTCCTTCCCTCCTTCCCTCCCTCCCTCCCTGTGTACCCCCTCCTTCCCTCCCTCCCTCCCTGTGTACTCCCTCCTTTCCTTCCCTCCCTCTTTCCCTCCCTGTGTACTCCCTCCTTCCTTCCTTCCCTCCCTCCCTGTGTACCCCCTCCTTCCCTCCCTCCCTGTGTACTCCCTCCTTCCCTCCCTCCCTCCCTCCCTGTGTACCCCCTCCTTCCCTCCTTCTCTCCCTCCCTGTGTACTCCCTCCTTCCCTTCCCTCCCTCTTTCCCTCCCAGTGTACCCCCTCCTTCCCTCCCTCCCTGTGTACTCCCTCCTTCCCTCCCTCCCTCCCTCCCTCCCTGTGTACCCCCTCCTTCCTTCCTTCTCTCCCTCCCTGTGTACTCCCTCCTTCCCTTCCCTCCCTCCCTCCCTCCCTGTGTATCCCCTCCTTCCCTCCTTCCCTCCCTGTGTACTCCCTCCTTCCCTCCTTCCCTCCCTCCCTCCCTCCCTCCCTGTGTACCCCCTCCTTCCCTCCCTCCCTCCCTGTGTACTCCCTCCTTCCCTCCTTCCCTGTGTACTCCCTTCTTCCCTCCCTCCCTGTGTACTCCCTCCTTCCCCCTCTCCCTGTGTAATCCCTCCTTCCCTCCCTGCGTACTCCCTCCTTCCCTCCTTCCTTCCCTCCCTCCCTCCCTGTGTACCCTCTCCTTCCCTCCTTCCCTCCTTCCCTATGTACTCCCTCCTTCCCTCCCTCCCTGTGTACCCCCTCCTTCCCTCCCTCCCTGTGTACTCCCTCCTTTCCTCCTTCCCTCCCTCCCTCCCTCCCTGTGTACTCCCTCCTTCCCTCCTTCCCTCCCTTCCTATGTACCCCCTCCTTCCCTCCCTCCCTGTGTACTCCCTCCCTCCCTCCCTGTGTACCCCCTCCTTCCCTCCTTCCCTCCCTCCCTGTGTACACCCTCCTTCCCTCCTTCCCTCCCTCCCTGTGTACTCCCTCCCCTCCTCCCTCCCTGTGTACCCCCTCCTTCCCTCCCTCCCTGTGTACTGCCTCCTTCCCTCCTTCCCTCCCTCCCTCCCTCCCTGTGTATCCCCTCCTTCCCTCCTTCCCTCCCTGTGTACTCCCTCCTTCCCTCCTTCCCTCCCTCCCTCCCTGTGTACCCCCTCCTTCCCTCCCTCCCTCCCTGTGTACTCCCTCCTTCCCTTCCCTCCCTCTTTCCCTCCCTGTGTACTCCCTCCTTCCTTCCTTCCCTCCCTCCCTGTGTACCCCCTCCTTCCCTCCCTCCCTGTGTACTCCCTCCTTCCCTCCCTCCCTCCCTCCCTGTGTACCCCCTCCTTCCCTCCTTCTCTCCCTCCCTGTGTACTCCCTCCTTCCCTTCCCTCCCTCTTTCCCTCCCTGTGTACCCCCTCCTTCCCTCCCTCCCTGTGTACTCCCTCCTTCCCTCCCTCCCTCCCTCCCTGTGTACCCCCTCCTTCCCTCCTTCTCTCCCTCCCTGTGTACTCCCTCCTTCCCTTCCCTCCCTCCCTCCCTCCCTGTGTATCCCCTCCTTCCCTCCTTCCCTCCCTGTGTACTCCCTCCTTCCCTCCTTCCCTCCCTCCCTCCCTCCCTGTGTACCCCCTCCTTCCCTCCCTCCCTCCCTGTGTACTCCCTCCTTCCCTCCTTCCCTGTGTACTCCCTTCTTCCCTCCCTCCCTGTGTACTCCCTCCTTCCCCCTCTCCCTGTGTAATCCCTCCTTCCCTCCCTGCGTACTCCCTCCTTCCCTCCTTCCTTCCCTCCCTCCCTCCCTGTGTACCCTCTCCTTCCCTCCTTCCCTCCTTCCCTATGTACTCCCTCCTTCCCTCCCTCCCTGTGTACCCCCTCCTTCCCTCCCTCCCTGTGTACTCCCTCCTTTCCTCCTTCCCTCCCTCCCTCCCTCCCTGTGTACTCCCTCCTTCCCTCCTTCCCTCCCTTCCTATGTACCCCCCTCCTTCCCTCCCTCCCTGTGTACTCCCTCCTTCCCTCCCTCCCTCCCTCCCTGTGTACCCCCTCCTTCCCTCCTTCTCTCCCTCCCTGTGTACCCCCTCCTTCCCTCTTTTCCTGTGTACCCCCTCCTTCCCTCCCTCCCTGTGTACCCCCTCCTTCCCTCCCTCCCTGTGTACCCCCTCCTTCCCTCCCTCCCTGTGTACCCCTCCTTCCCTCCTTCCCTGTGTACCCCCTCCTTCCCTCCCTTCCTGTGTACCCCCTCCTTCCCTCCCTCGCTGTGTACTCCCTCCTTCCCTCCCTCCCTCCATGTGTACTCCCTCCTTCCCTCCCTCCCTGTGTACTCCCTCCTCCACTCCCTCCCTCTGTGTGTACTCCTTCCCTCTGTACTTGTCTTTGTAGACCGAGTTACTAAAAATAGATTTACTTCGCCAAATTTATTTAAATGGCCATATGTGTAAGTGGCCAAATGTGTGAGTGGCCAATTGTGTGAGTGGCTGAATGTGTGAGTGGCTGAATGTGTGGGTGGCCAAATGTGTGAGTGGCCAAATGTGTGAGTGGCCAAATGTGTGAGTGGCTGAATGTGTGAGTGGCCAAATGTGTGAGTGGCTGAATGTGTGAGTGGTCAAATGTGTGAGTGGCCAAATGTGTAAGTTGCCAAATGTGTAAGTGGCCAGATTTAACCCCCACTCCCTTATCTTGCCAGGTTTGCTGGTCTACGCCTGCTACAGCCAGAGACACAGCATCCACAGACAGCAGGACCAGCAGGACGTTGTCCTGTTTGATATCAGCCAACTCCAGCATGGCGACAACTGACCAGCAGGACATTGTCCTGTTTGACATCAGACAATGCCATCCTGGCAACAGCTGACCGCTACACCTAATTGGCCAGGTACTCATCAATCAAGCTCCTGGCCTACAGCGGGCAAACGGGAGACAACTCAACTCTTTCCATGCGGGACAACCAGAAATAGAAGGGGAGATAACCCGCTAAATGACAACAAGGGACAGAACTTCATCTGCTTGATTTGTTTTATTTCATTCGTTAAAGGCGCATTTTATGTTACACAACATCGCCTGTTCAGTAGTAACACACAGACACAGTGGTAACACACACACACAGACACAGTGGTAACACACACACAGTGGTAACACACAGACAGTGGTAACACACACACACACAGTGGTAACACACACACTGTGGTAACACTTCACACTCAGTGGTAAAACACACACACACACATAGTGATAACACACACACATACACACACAGTGGGTAGCAACACACACAGTCGGTGAATAACAACACTCACACACACACATACAATCAGTGTGATGTTCTAACCAAATGGTATGTGTAAATATCTGTAAATAGATGTGTAGATATATGTGTGTAAATATCTGTAAATAGATGTGTAGATATATGTGTGTAATTATCTGTAAATATTTGTACATATTTCTGCTTATACCAGATGTAGCCACATTCCATTAAGGAAATCTGCTGTAGGACGGTTAAACCGTCGGTTAAATTGTTAAACCGTCGGTTAAATTGTTAAACCGTCGGTTAAACCGTCGGTTAAATTGTTAAACCGTCGGTTAAATTGTTAAACCGTCGGTTAAACCGTTGGTTAAATTGTTAAACCGTCGGTTAAATTGTTAAACCGTCGGTTAAACCGTCGGTTAAATTGTTAAACCGTCGGTCAAACGCTAGCCATTAGCTATAGCAGGGTAGCAAGGATTTCCTCTGATAAACGACAGATGTCATGTCAGATGTCAAGACAGATGTCACGACAGATGTCATGTCAGATGTCACGACAGATGTCACGACAGATGTCACGACAGATGTCACGACAGATGTCACGACAGATGTCAAGACAGATGTCATGTCAGATGTCACGACAGATGTCACGACAGATGTCAAGACAGATGTCACGACAGATGTCACGACAGATGTCAAGACAGATGTCACGACAGATATCACGACAGCCCTGTCGCGACAGGCTGTAGCTTTAACTCCTCCACCACACGCCACAAGATTCAGGTAGTCGATGCTCGCAGATGTAATCGTATTCGCGTGTATTTGCTTTGTAAATTATAGCCAAAAACATGGATCGATTTTTTGCGTGAGAGTTGCGATACGGCAATCGGTTATCCCTGCTGAAATTTCTGGCTAATGCATGTTTATTATCACAAGCCAACGGCTGTCGGCTGTTATTGATGATCGAATCCAAACTATTTCAACTACTCTATCTTGCCAGTATTCGAATCCAAACAATTCACGATACTCCATTTTGCGATATCGCGTCAAGGAACCCAAAACATTTTACAACCAGTTACGGTGAGACTGGTGTGGTTCTGGTGTGGTTGTCGTGTGGTTCTGGTGTGGTTGTGGTGTGGTTGTGATGTGGCTGTGGTGTGGTGTGGTTGTGGTATGGTGTGACTGTGTTGTGGTCCAACCGACGATCAACCCGCAGACGACGACATGGTTTGGAAACTACGTCACAGGTCATTGGCCGAGTGGACATGACGTCACGTTCATGCTCGGAAGTTCAACTAATTTTATTTTAGTTAAACCATGACCTTGTAAGCTAAACCATGACCTTTTAAGCTAAACCATGACCTTGTAAGCTAAACCATGACCTTGTGAGCTAAACCATGACCATGTAAGCTAAACCATGACCTTGTAAACTAAACCATGACCTTGTAAACTAAACCATGACCTTATAAACTAAATCATGACCTTGTAAGCTAAACCATGACCTTGTAAGCTAAACCATGACCTTGTAAGCTAAACCATGACCTTGTAAGCTAAACCATGACCTTATTAACTAAACCATGACCTTGTAAACTAAACCATGATCCTGTAAACTAAACCATGACCTTGTAAACTAAACGATGACCTTGTAAGCTAAACCATGACCTTGTAAACTAAACCATGACCTTGTAAACTAACCCCTTACCTTGTACGCTAAACCATGACATTTGATGCTAACCTTAATGCTAAACTTTGTATGCTCAAGCAGCGAATGTAGTCGGATGAAATGTTGTAAATAAATGCAAACATCGCTTGATCCGATTTTGTGCTGGTGTTTTTAAATTTATTTGTATAAAACAAGAAAACATCCGTACAACCACATCTCGCCACGCCGACCACACACACAGCTCGCCACATCAACCACACCAACCACACCAACCACATCAACCGTATGTGGTTGGTGTGGTTGATGTGACGAGCTGCGTGGTTGATCCAACCACACATTTGCAGACCTGAGAAAATCAACACCTGGCTGCTGGTGTATCGATTTTCTCCACGTCACAAAAATATTTGATCCACATAACCTCGGAGTTATTGGAAATTATCGGTAACCATAGAGAACATAGAGAACATAGCCTTAGAGAACATAGAGAGCCTCAGAGAACATAGAGAACATAGCCTTAGAGAACTAGACTTAGACAACATAGAGAACATAGCCTTAGAGAACATAGAGAACATAAAGTTAGAGAACATAGCCTTAGAGAACATAGAGAACATAGCCTTAGATAACATAGAGAACTAGACTTAGAGAACATAGAGAACTAGCCTTAGAGAACATAGAGAACATAGAGAACTAGCCTTAGAGAACATAGAGAACATAGAGAACATAGCCTTAGATAACATAGAGAACTAGACTTAAAGAACATAGAGAACATAGACAACATAGCCTCAGAGAACATAGAGAACATAGCCTCAGAGAACATGGAGAACATAGCCTCAGAGAATATAGAGAACATAGCCTTAGAGAACATAGAGAACATAGCCTTAGAGAACATAGAGAACATAGAGAACATAGCCTCAGAGAACATTGGGAACTAGCCTCAGAGAACATAGAGAACATAGCCTTAGAGAACATAGAGAACATAGAGAACATAACCTCAGAGAACATAGAGAATATAGCCTCAGAGAACATAGAGAACTAGTCTAAGACAACATAGAGAACAAAGCCTTAGAGAACATAGAGAACATAGCCTTAGAGAACATAGAGAACATAGCCTTAGAGAATATAGAGAACATAGCCTTAGAAAACATAGAGAACAGCCTTAGAGAACATAGAGAACTAGCCTTAGAGAACATAGAAAACATAGAGAATAGCCTTAGAGAACATAAAGAACTAGCCTTAGAGAACATAGAGAACACAGCCTTAGAGAACATACAGAACATAGACTTAGGAAACATAGAGAACAGCCTTAGAGAACATAGAGAACAAAGCCTTAGAGAACACAGAGAACATAGAGAACTAGCCTCAGAGAACATTAAGAACTAGCCTTAGGGAACATAGAGAACATAGCCTTAGAGAACATAGCCTCAGAGAACATAAAGAACTAGCCTTAGAGAACATAGAGAACATAGCCATAGAGAACATAGAGAACAGCCTTAGAGAACATTGAGAACAGCCTTAGAGAACATAGCCTTAGAAAACATAGAGAACATAGCTTTAGAGAACATAGCCTTAGAGAACATAGAGAACATAGCCTCAGAGAACATAGGGAACAAGCCTCAGAGAACATAGAGAATATAGCCTTAGAGAACATAGAGAACAAAGCCTTAGAGAACACAGAGAACATAGAGAACTAGCCTCAGAGAACATAAAGAACTAGCCTTAGGGAACATAGAGAACATAGAGAACATAGCCTTAGAGAACATAGAGAACATAGCCTCAGAGGACATAAAGAACTAGCCTTAGAGAACATAGAGAACATAGCCATGGAGAACATAGAGAACAGCCTTAGAGAACATTGAGAACAGCCTTAGAGAACATAGCATTAGAAAACATAGAGAACATAGCTTTAGAGAACATAGCCTTAATGAACATAGAGAACATAGCCTTAGAGAACATAGAGAACATAGAGAACATAGCCTCAGAGAACATAGGGAACTAGCCTCAGAGAACATAGAGAACATAGCCTCAGAGAACATAGAGAACTAGCCTAAGACAACAGAGAACATAGCCTCAGAGAACATAAAGAACTAGCCTTAGAGAACATAGAGAACATAGCCTCAGATAACATAGGGAACTAGCCTCAGAGAACATAGAGAACATAGCCTTAGAGAACATAGAGAACAAAGCCTTAGAGAACACAGAGAACATAGAGAACTAGTCTCAGAGAACATAAAGAACTAGCCTTAGGGAACATAGAGAACATAGAGAACATAGCCTTAGAGAACATAGAGAACATAGCCTCAGAGAACATAAAGAACTAGCCTTAGAGAACATAGAGAACATAGCCATGGAGAACATAAAGAACAGCCTTAGAGAACATTGAGAACAGCCTTAGAGAACATAGCATTAAAAAACATAGAGAACATAGCTTTAGAGAACATAGCCTTAGAGAACATAGAGAACATAGCCTCAGAGAACATAGGGAACTAGCCTCAGAGAACATAGAGAACATAGCCTCAGAGAACATAGAGAACTAGCCTAAGACAACAGAGAACATAGCCTCAGAGAACATAAAGAACTAGCCTTAGAGAACATAGAGAACATAGCCTCAGATAACATAGGGAACTAGCCTCAGAGAACATAGAGAACATAGCCTTAGAGAACATAGAGAACAAAGCCTTAGAGAACACAGAGAACATAGAGAACTAGTCTCAGAGAACATAAAGAACTAGCCTTAGGGAACATAGAGAACATAGAGAACATAGCCTTAGAGAACATAGAGAACATAGCCTCAGAGAACATAAAGAACTAGCCTTAGAGAACATAGAGAACATAGCCATGGAGAACATACAGAACAGCCTTAGAGAACATTGAGAACAGCCTTAGAGAACATAGCATTAAAAAACATAGAGAACATAGCTTTAGAGAACATAGCCTTAGAGAACATAGAGAACATAGAGAACATAGCCTCAGAGAACATAGGGAACTAGCCTCAGAGAACATAGAGAACATAGCCTCAGAGAACATAGAGAACTAGCCTAAGACAACAGAGAACATAGCCTCAGAGAACATAAAGAACTAGCCTTAGAGAACATAGAGAACATAGCCTCAGAGAACATAGGGAACTAGCCTCAGAGAACATAGAGAACATAGCCTTAGAGAACATAGCATTAGAAAACATAGAGAACATAGCTTTAGAGAACA